TTGATTTAATTTTGGTAAGTGAAATTTATACAGGAAATGTCTATTTCCTTTAAGTTTTCCAATCCTGTGGAGTACAGGTTTTTGAAATATGACCTGTTGATTTTCTGTATTTCCTCCGTGTCTGTTGTTATGTCCCCCTTTTCATTTCTGATTTTGTTAATTTGGATATTCTTTCTCTGCCTATTGGTTAGTTTGGATAAATGTTTGTCTATTTTGTTGATTTTCTCAAAAAACCAACTCTTTGTCTCATTGATTCTTTGTATTGTTTTCTTTGTTTCTATTTTGTTGATTTCAGCTCTCAGTTTGATTATTTCCTGCTAATTTGATTTCCTTTCAATTTGATTATTTCTAGTTCTTTTGGGTGAGTTTGCTTCTTTTAGTTCTAGAATTTTCAGGGGTTCTGTTAACTCACTAGTGTGGGATTTTTCCAGCTCTTCTATGTAGGCATTTATTTTCCTATATATTTTCCTCTTAACACTGCTTTCATTGTGTTCCATAAATTTGGGTATGTTGTGTGGTCATTTGCATTGAATTTTAGGAAGTGTTTGATTTCTTCCTTTATTTCTTCCTTGACACATTGACTCATTAAACAAGTGAGCATTGTTTAATTTCCATGAATTTGTGGGTTTTCTGAAATTAGTGTTGCTGTTGAATTCTAATTTTAAGCTATGGTGATTCGATAAGATACATGGAGTTATTCAAATTCTTTTGTGTCTGTGGAGGTTTGCTTTGTTACCTAGTCTTTGGTCAATTTTTGAGAAGGTTCCATGAGGTGCTGAGAAGGTATATTCTTTTATGTTTAGATGGAATGTTCTATAGATGTCTGTTAAGTCCATTTGATTCATAGCATCTGTTAGTTCCCTTATTTCTCTGTTAATTTTCTGTCTGATAGACCTGTCCAGTGGTGAGAATGGGGTGTTGAAGTCTCCCACTGTTAGTATATGGGGTTCAATGAATGATTTAAACTTTAGTAGTGTTTCTTTTACATATGAGGCTGTCCTTGTATTTGGGGCATAGATGTTCAGTATTGAGTGTTTGGTTGGAAGCGTCACCCCAGTCCCTGACATACATATATCCAAAGAGTCTGGGATGTTTGAGTAGAAAGTTCCATCCCAAGTCCCCTCCCCTAGGAGTGCCTCAATCTGGTCTCCACCCCCCAAAAAGCCCACCAAAAGGATGACTCCTCCTCAGAGATGCTCAAGACCACTCCCACAGGGTATTTAAACTCCAACCCAGAGAACAAACACATTGTTTCGGGTGTTCCTTTCCATCTCTTTGTTGAGGAGCTGGAAGGCCACTTGGGAGCACTGGCATCCATTAAACCTGGGCCTTTTCTAATTCAGTTTGATTTGGTCTGATTTAGATTATTGCATCGGCATAGAAGTTTATTGAGGAACAAAATCTTTTCATTGAGATTTCCTCTTGATGGATTTTTCTTGTGACTAATATGAAACGTCCTTCTTTGTCTCTTTTGGTGGATTTTTGTTTGAAGTTTATTTTGTTAGACATTAGAATAGCTATACCAGCTTGTTTCTTAGGTCCGTTTGATTGGAAAATTTCCCTTTACTCCGAAGCGATATCTATCTTTGAGGTTGAGGTGTTTTTCTTGTATGCAGCAGTAGGAGGGATTCTGTTTTTGTATCCAATCTGTTAACCTGTATTTTTTATAGGTGAACCAAGTCCATTTATATTAAGAGATATTAATGACCAGTGAATGCTAGTTCCTGTCATTTTATTTTTTGTTGTTGGTGGTGCTATTGTGGGTGTTTTTCCCTTTATGGGATTTGCTGCTATAATATCATCTATTGTCTGTTTTTGTGGGTGTAGCTAGCTTCCTTGGGTTGGAGTTTTCCTTCTAGTACATTGTGTAGGGCTGGGTTTGTGGCTAGGTATTGGTTAAATCTGATTCTGTCATGGAATATCTTCTTTTGTCCGTCTATGGTGATTGAAAGTTTTGCTGGGTATAGTAGTCTGGGCTGGCATCCATGGTCTCTTAATGTCTGCGTAACACTTGACCAGGACCTTCTGGTTTTCATTGTCTCCAATGAGAAGTCAGGTGTAATTCTGGTAGGTCTGCCTTTAAATGTTACTTGGTCTTTTTCCTTTGCTGTTCTTAATATTCTTTCTTCATTCTGTATGTTTAGTGTTTTGATTATTACGTGGTGAGGGAAATTTTTTTTTTAACCCAGTCTATTTGATGTTCTGTAAGCTTCTTACATCTTCATACGTATATCTTTGTTTGGGTTGGGAAAGTTTTCTTCTATAATTTTGTTGAATATATTTTCTGTGCTTTTGAGTTGGACTTCTCCTTCTTCTATCCCTATTATTCTTAGGTTTGGTCTTTTAATGGTGTTCCATCTTTCCTAGGTATTTTGTGTTAAGCTTTTGTAAGATTTTATGTTTTCTTTGACTGATGAGTCTTTTTCCTCTATTGTATCTTCAGCACTTGAGATTCTCTTTCCCATCTCTTGTATTCTGCTATTTATACTTGCATTTGTGGTTCCTGATCATTTTCTCATAATTTCCATTTCTATAATTCCTTCAGTTTGTGGTTTTTTTATTGTCTCTATTTTGGTTTTCAAGTCTTAAATCATTTCTTTCATCTGTTTGATTGCTTTTTCTTTGTGTGTGTGTTTTTTTTAAAGAGATTTGTTGATTTCTTCCATTTTTTTTGTCTTTTCCTCCATTTCTCTGAGGGAATTTTTCTATTTTTTCTTTTTTTATTTTATTAAATTATAAAGGTTTTCATTTCCGCCTCTCCTCCCACCACCCTCCCACTCCCCCCACTCCCTCTCCTCCTCCTCTGAGGGAATTTTTCATTTCCTCTTTAAGAACCTCAAACATTTTCCTAAAGTTATCTGCTAATTTGTTTTCTTCTGCTTCATCTATATTTGGGTGTTCACACCTTGATGTTTTAGGGCCACTTAATTTTTGTTGGTGTTGTGTTGCTCTTTGTGGTGTTGAGTGTGTTTTTACCTTGTCTACCCATCTTTTCCTCTGATTGGTGTAGTTGGGGCTATGTCTCTGGCTATCAATCTTCCAGGTGCCAGTGGATGCAAGGCTCAGATGGTTATTCCTTGTGGTGCAGTCAGGGCCACAGTTCCAGTCACCCCAGAGGTTCCGTGTTCCCAGAGGTCATTCAGTACTCCTGGGAGTTGCTCTACAATCCCGGGTCGTTCGGCCCTGCTTCCATGGAGGTTGCTTGCCTGGGGCTGTTCCTGTGGAGGTTGCAGATTCGTGCCCAGTTCCACAAAGTCTCTGGCTCAGGCCTGCTCCTTCAGTGGTGGCTCCCTTCAACCTGCCCCTGTGGCGCTCATTGCCTTGAGCCTGTTCCCACAGAGGTCCCTGGTTTGGGCCCAGTCCTACAGAGGTCTCTAGCTTGGTACTGCTCCATGGAGGTCCCTGACTTGTGCCTGGTCCTGCAGAGGTCTCTGGATCAGGCCTGCTCCCTCGGCAGCCACTCCTTTGTACTTGCTCCTGTGGAGGTAGCTACCTTGGGCCTGCTCTGACTGAAGTTGCTGGCTCAGGCCTGCCTTTCTGAAGGTCGTTGCCTTGGGCTTGCTCAGGTGGAAGTTGCTGGCTCACACCTGCTCCAGGTGAAGTTGCTGGCTCAGGCCTGATACCACAAAGGTCCCTGGCTGGGGCCCAGTCCCACAGAGGTCTCTGGCTTGGGCCTGGTCCCTTGGAGGTTGCTCCTTGTATCTGCTCTGTGGATGGCGCTGCCTCTGTTGAAATTGCTGACTCAGGCCTGCCCTTGTGGAGGTCACTACATAGGGCCTGCTCCAGAGGAAGTTGCTGACTCAAGTCTGTTCCTGTGGAGGCCAGAGTGTTTGTGACTCTTTTCAGGAATCTCATGTGGTCAGAAAGCCTTGTGAGCAGCCTCGGGACAAGTAAGGGCTGAAGTCGGACATGGCAGCTTCAAAGTCTGCTTCACAGGGAATGATGCAGAAAAACCACGGAAAGAACACCCAGGTACATTGCAGACAGAAAAAATCAGGGTCCATCAACACCACATCAAAAGAACTGGAGTTCAAGTGTGGGAGCAGAGCCTCATTGGGCAGCAGACCCCTCAAGTTACCTCATGGAATGTTGACGCAGTGTTTTTTACTTACCGTTATTTTTTAAGGCATCCTCACAGAAAACTTCACTTCTCAGAGAATTAATTACCAGTTAGTTCAGAAAGTGACGTCTATATTATTCCCTAGTGTATGGAACGCCCTAGGATTTCAGGGAGCACATGGCCTCTGCTTTGATACACACAGACACATCTGGAGCCAGGGTCACAGTCTCCTGTGAGAGCCAGGTTCACTCCAGGCTTACTGCCTGCTCTAGGAAAAGGAACTGCCCCTCCCTGGAGCCAAGATCTGAATCCCCCAAACTGCTGCTGAGAGTTGGAGAGCAGGCTCAGTTTCTCTGGTCTGGGGCTCCCAAGATCCTGGAAATAGCATGTTCGGGGGGGGGGGAGCACTGTCCTGACTAGTGGACATGCTCAGTGGACACCCACCACAGCTCTTGGTCCCATTAGACGCCCTCACTATTGCCTCCCGTTCTTCTCACTAGACACTCAGATCCTGACTCATCGACAGAGGACGCCTTAAGGATTTAACCCACCAAAGCTGCTGGAAAGATGAGCAGGCAAGTGAGCAACTCAGAAAAAGGATATAAGGAAACCAATATTGGTGGAGCAGACTTTGGATAGGGGCTCAATACAGACCTGAGAGAGTGGCTTTCTGAAAGCACAGTTTATTTCCCTGACGAAAGTAGCTTCTTTGTTAACCAATGGCAATAGAACATATTCATAGCATACATCACTGAGGCTCATCAGAGAGCAGCAGCAGGTGTCAGGAGTCTTTCTAGAAGAGAGATGTTAAGAGTGGTTTTTCTCTGTGCAGAGCTGGAAGGGTAAGACAAAGGTGAAGGCCAGGCATGGGTTAATAATGCAATGATTAACTGACGGTGGGCCTTGTCCCACCTATGACATGCCACTGTACAACGTGACTCTATGGTTATATAAGATGAAGAAACTCATGTTGGAGGTAGAGACAGGCAAGGAAGGTCCTCTGCTGCGGGCTTCTCCGGAGATGGCCACGGGACTCCTGGTGTCTCTGCGAGGACTCTCAGGGCTGCTGCTCCTGCTCTGTGCCCTTCCCTGGACTGAGGGTGGGAAGGTCCTGGCGATTCCCTTGGAGGGCAGTCACTGGCTGAGCATGAAGAACATTGTGAGGGAGCTCCATGCCCGAGGCCACGAGACAGTGGTCCTGTCTCCAGACGTGTCCACGTTCATCAAAGAAGAGGATTTTGTCACTCTGCAAAGCTACACTGTCCCGTACACCAAGGAAGACTATGAACATAACTCGCTGGGTTACTTTAAAATGTTCTTAGAGACAGAATATTCTGTCATGATGTTTTTAAACAATATGGAACTTATGAAAAACATATCGATGTTCTACCTGAGTGCTTGCAGTAGTCTACTGCACAACAAGGACCTTATGCAGCATCTGAACTCAAGTTCCTATGAAGTCGTGTTAACAGACCCTGTGTATCCCTGTGGGGCAGTGTTGGCGAAAATTTTGAATATTCCTACTGTGTTTCTTCTGCGCTTCGTTCCTTCGGACATTGAATTTGAGTCTGCCCAGGCTCCAAGCCCTCCCTCATATGTTCCAAGGGCATTCACAAGGAATTCAGACCACATGACCTTCCTGGAGAGGGTAAAGAACATTCTCTACAATCTGCCATACAAGATCATTTTCCGCATCGCTTATGTCCGCTTTGAGAACCTGGCCTCAGAGCTTCTTCAGAGAGAGGTGTCTTTCACGGAGATTCTCAGCCACGCATCCATCTGGCTCTTCAGGTTGGACTTTGTGTTTGAGTACCCCCGGCCCATCATGCCCAATATGTTTTTCGTCGGGGGACTAAATTGTGCCTTCAGAAAGCCACTCTCTCAGGTCTGTATTGAGCCCCTATCCAAAGTCTGCTCCACCAATATTGGTTTCCTTATGTCTTTTTTCTGAGTTGCTCATTTACCTGCTCATCTTTCCAAAAGCTTTGGTGGGTTAAATCCTTAAGGCGTCCTCTGTCGATGAGTCAGGATCTGAGTGTCTAGTGAGAAGAACGGGAGGCAATAGTGAGGGCGTCTAATGGGACCAAGGAGCTGTGGTGGGTGTCCACTGAGCATGTCCACTAGTCAGGACAGTGCCCCCCCACCTGAACATGCTATTTCCAGGATCTTGGGAGCCCCAGACCAGAGAAACTGAGCCTGCTCTCCAACTCTCAGCAGTAGTTTGGGGGATTCAGATCTTGGCTCCAGGGAGGGGCAGTTCCTTTTCCTAGAGCAGGCAGTAAGCCTGGAGTGAACCTGGCTCTCACAGGAGAGGCCATGTGCTCTCTGAATCCCTAGGGCGTTCCATACACCAGGGAATAATATAGATGTCGCTTTCAGTACTAATTGGTAATTAATTTTCTGAGAAGTGAAGTTTTCTGTGAGGATGCCTTTAAAAATAACAGAAAGTAAAAAACACTGCGTCAACATTCCATGAGGTAACTTGAGGGGTCTGCTGCCCAATGAGGCTCTGCTCCCACACTTGAACTCCAGTTCTTTTGATGTGGTATTAACGGATCCTGATTTTTTTTTTCTGTCTGCAATGTACCTGGGTGTTCTTTCCGTGGTTTTTCTGCATCATTCCCTGTGAAACAGACTTTGAAGCTGCCATGTCCGACTTCAGCCCTTACTTGTCCCGAGGCTGCTCACAAGGCTTTCTGACCACATGAGATTCCTAGAAAAGGTCAAGAACACATTGACCCTATGACCTTGAAGTACGTGTGTCACATATGTTCCACTCCTTTGGGGCACCACACCTCTGAGATTTTCCAGAGAGAGATGTCCTTGGTAAATATTTACAGCCATGCATCTGTATGGTTGTTTTAGGGGGCTTTATGTCCAGTATGGTCTTCATTGGGGGCATAAACTCTGCCAACAGGAAGACACTCTCTCAGGTCTGCATTGGAGCCATAATTTATCTTTACAACAGTCTAGTTTTCTAAATATCTCATTTTGATGTGGTCATTAGCTTTCCAGGGAATTTTTTTTTTTAACCTTGAACTCTCGAATGTTGCCAGGAGTCAACCTGGAGGTAGACAGATCCTGAGAGGATGTAGGGAGTCAATGAGGGAAGGAGTGAGCCAGGCATCATGGGCAGGAGAACCTTGCAGCCTGACTGACTGGCAGCCAGAGTGCTTCTTTATTTATACAGAATTTAGTAAGCAGGGATAGATTAATGTTGTTCCAAAACATAGATCATAACAGTTTGATTCTGGGCATGTGTTTCACTTCTTCCTCGCATATTTTTAGTCATCATTGAGACACTGTGACAGAACAGAGTTATCTTTTATAACCATTTTTACTCATGAACTCCATAGCCCAGTTTCTAAGAATCTAGAGGCATATGACAGCCTGTTCTCAGGCTGGTATCCTTTGTGACTACACAGTTGCTAGACCAAAACCAAGTCTCCAAGCTACTTCAGGCAGATTGCTATGTCCTGAGTAGTGTATTATTAACTCTTAATGGTCAGAGTGCCCAAGAAATATTCTCAGACTAAAGTTGCTGCAGTTATTTTCCAGATTCTGGCATAATATACTCTTTGTATTTTATATCTTTATAGAATTTGTCTTTATGTCTAATCCTGGCATTCTGTTGTTCCTTGCTCATATGAAACCACAGTGGCTCAGCATGTGCTAACTTTTCTAACAAAGGGAGGTCCTGACATCTCATTCTTTTTACCATCTTTCTACATCCTTCTTTGCCCAACACTTAAAGTCTCTGTATAGGGCAGAGGTAACTTCATCTAACCTAACTTTGTTGCTGTATATGCCACGTAATTGCCTGAGTGTATAAGGGGAAGAGGCTTGCAATCTGATCTGTGGCCAACTCCTCCAGCCCACTGAATCTTGTTAACCTTTTTAAGTTTGCTTTGTTTTGATTATCTTGTTCCTAAGGATAGGAACAGATGTTTCAAGAATATATCAAAGCCTCATGAAGAAACCTCTGACTTCTTTGTGTGTGTCATATCCTTCAAGGCATAAGGAAGACCTTAAGGTAGATAAGGATGTTTTCCTAAAAGCGGGAAGGGTAGTATGTTCAGGATTTTCCTGGAGAAGCTTAGAAGCAGTGTTACTGGGAGAAGGCAAAAATAATTCATGAGAAAATTTCCATCAATACAATAGCCTCAAACTGTGCAAATATTAAGAGTCTCCCATAAAGCATGATCCTAATTAATCTTAATCAATAAAGACCAGGAGTCAGATATCGGGGTAAAAACTGACAGATCCGAGAAACAGAGCAGCAGCCATTAGACTTCTTGCCTCTCTGAATCCTCAGACCAAAAGATTCTGTCTCTGCCCTGTGTGCTGGGATTAAAGGCGTGAGCCACCACTTCCCAGCTTCTATGATTTACTAGTGGCTATTTCTGCCCTCTGATCTCCAGGAAAGCTTTATTTGTCAGAACACAAATAAAATGTCACACAACACCTCCAAATATGCAGCAGGTAGAGATGAAAACCAAAAGTGGCGTGGCGGCCATCACGTGACTCAGCTTTGCTGAATCTGTGTCAGGCCGCTAGGCTGGCCTTATGACTTTTGCCATTCCCATCAGATATGGCTGTGCCACAATCTGTCTCTGATATTTTCAGTTTTCAAAATATCCGTAACTGACATTTGAGGTTTACAGTGTTCACGGAGGGGACTGCACTGCCATACCGACGGTCTGTCTGTCTGTCCGTCCTGGGACTGACTCACAGCAACACTCCTCACCTGTGTGGGCACTGTCTTTCTAGGGGTGAAGTTCTTCTGACGCTGAGCAGATGCAGAGGAACTGAGGGGTGACTTGACTCTAGTAGACATTTATTGCTTTCCGGTTTTCAGCAGCAAGATGAAGGGACTTTTTACCCATGAATCCTTAATGATTCTCTCTAGGGAGGCCTGGGAATGTGCTCACTATTACTTGAGAGTGGAAATAGAAGCTGTCAGCATGTGTGGTCTCATTTACATTTGTCTCCATGGTTACTAGCCTTCTTTCAGGTGCTCCAGAGTCACACAGGACCAGGGTTTTTAAATCTTCTGTGGGTGCATCCAAATTGTCACATTTGATGTTTTGTATGTCTGTGTTCCTGAGATTCCCCAGTTCCCAAGAGGGTGTCTTCTACCTTCTGTTTCCAACCTCATAGTCACCAATATTTGCAGAGGTTTTATTAGCATTTTTGATAGTTGTCACCGGTAGGCATGGAAGCTGGCTCGGTACACGGAGGTGCTAGCGTTGTGGCGATGTACTTTGCTCTGATCACTAAGTGACATCTCAGATATCCTACCTATCTGCTCCCAACATTGTCATCTCGTGTTATTTTCACATTACTCTTACCTTTACATCTAATGAAATAGTTTAGAATTTTGGTTCCATGTTTAAACAGTGTTTTAAAAACTCCCTCCTGTTGATTCCTCTTGATGTGAGAATTCTGGCTATTCAGATAGGATAGACTTGATTTTATCTCTCACAATCCATTCCTTTTACATTATTGGTTTTCTTGAAAATTTCCATCTTGGTTTTTCTTTTGTAATTCAATGGCACTCTGTCTCCATGGAGATGTGGTGGAGCTTGCCCACATCTCTAAGTCATATGTTTCCCTCCTTTACTAACAAGATCTTTTGTAATGATGTTGGACCACTTATGTGAATGCGGACAGTCTCTCCACTTCAAGATCCTCAATGACAGCTATACTCTCTTTGTCATATGATGTAACATTGTCTCAGTTCAGTCTGGTGTCTTACTTTGCCTTCAGCAGACAACCAATCCATTTGAGTGAGCCGCTGAATCTCATTCAAAACTGGAAGATTTTCTCTGCTGATGCCCCAAGAACTTTAGTCTGCTCTCTTCCTTCTGCCTCTCCCAAGGCAGTAATGGATTGGTGCTGTAGGAGGCCACTTGTTTGTCCCCAGCTGCCCAGAACCCAAATGATCACACAGAAACTGTATTAATTACAACATTGCTTGGCCTATTAGCTTATGCATATTGCCAGCTCACTCTTATCTCTTAAATTAACCCATTTCTATTATTTTATATTTTACCACAAGGGTCATGGCCTACCCGCAAGGTTACAACTGACAGCTTGAATCTTTCCCCTCTGGTGGCTACATGGCATCTTGCTAACTCCGCCTTCTTTCTCCCAGCATTCAGTTTAGTTTTCCCCACCTAGCTGTATTCTGCTAAGCCACTGGCTGAAACAGCTTCTTTATTCATTAACCAATAAAGGCAACACATATACAAAAGGACTTCCCACGACCAGACTAGACCTTGATCTTTGCTGATAGCATGGACTTTACTGATGTGTTCAAGGTGCCTCATCTAGTCAGTCACTCAAGTGAAAGCTAGCTTTTCGTCAAGTTGCTCTGATCTCTGTCCCCTAGACGCCATGACAAGTTTGATGTACTTTAGAAATTCTTTTGATATTTCCAACACCTGTGGTAATTGTGAAGCCAAGTTAAAGCTGAGTGTAGACCTAGCATGGGACTAGCCAATACTGGAATTTTGAGGCATTCACTTATATTTTGGCCCTAAACTTTCAGGCAGAGAATAATCTTGGAAACACTGATATTCTTTCATTGGAGAGGATAAATGTGAACTGATTTCCTGAGGCCTTAATGACTTGTTACAGGAATGATGGGAATAGCATTATACCCACTCTACAAGGTTACTCACTTGTTTAAGACAGGGTTTCATTATAGTTTAGGTTGACTTGGACCATGCTGTGTAACTGATGGCAACTTTGTTTTTTTTTTTTTGTTTGTCTTTTTAAATATTTATTTAATTTATTTATTATGTATACAGTATTCTGCAGGCCAGAAGAGGGCACCAGACATCATTTCAGATGGTTGTGAGCCACCATGTGGTTGCTGGG